TTTCCTGCCTGAGGTGGGACTAGAACTCCCAGTCTCCTGGTGAAAGGGCCAAAGTTATCCAGGTGGCTTTCCTGCCTGAGGTGGGACTAGAACTCCCAGTCTCCTAGTGAAAGGCCCAAAGTCATCCAGAATGCTTTCCTGCCTGAGGTGAGACTAAAATTCCCAGTCTCCTGGTCAAAGTCATCCAGGTGGCTTTCCTGCCTAGAACTCCCAGTCTCCTAGTTTCTAGCTTGGCGCCTTAATCCCTGGCTCTCAAGTAGTCAGGGTAACCAGGATGCCACTTACAGCTACGTATCAGCCATGGTCATCCAGAATTATAAAAACGCAACTCTCCCCTCCCTCTTCCTCCTCCTCCTCACCTTGCAAGCCTTTGGTGGCGAAGTGGACGTCGATGGGGTGGCACCAATAAGCCGTGTCACCTAACTGAGGATGGTCAACCTGGGTTTGTCCTTCCCGAAGACCGGACAGCAGTTTCCAGGCTCCACCTGAGAGAGGCATCCAGCCGTCATTAAAGGGAGCACCCGGGATCCCAACAAGCCAACGTGACACTCCTTTTTCTTTGGATCCTGACATTCTTAACCTTTATGAATAACAGTTGGAGGGGACCTCGGAGGTCTTCTAGTCCAACCCCCACTGCTTTCATTCACCGAGTGGCGGATCTCTTGATTACAATTGCTTGGGGCTCTTTGCTTTAGAGTTGTGGATCTCTCGATCGCAATACAAGAGTAACGGGCTCTTTTCTTGGGGCGTCTTTCAACTCCCCAAAGGGGCCTCTCCTTGTGGTCTCCCATCCAAATCCAGGATATCTTGCAGACCCTGCCCTGAATCTAGCGTTTCCCTTCTCCACTGAATAACCAGCCCTCCCTTTCCTAAGGGGTGGTCTGGGGGCTGCAAGCGGGGACCCCCCCCCAAAAAAAAACTCACACAAGGGCTCCACCTTTCCCACCCCAGGATGCTCCCCCACACCCCCCGCCGCCTCCCCCCACTCCCCCAGGCACACACCTGTGTGGATCCCCCACTTGCAAAACAAGGAACTGCTGGGGAATCCACTGGCTCCCACGATCTGGCCAATGACGTGCACTTCGGCCATGGCCCAAGGGAAGGGTGGGGGGGCGCGAGGTGCCCGCCGGATTGCAGAAACCGGGCTTTGCACGAGCCTTAGATCATGCGGCGGGTCCGGGCTAATCCGGGTCACAGAATCGGCCCGGCCGGAACCCGCTTCGGAGCAAGAATTCCCCGGGTTGCAACGGGTTCAGACGACGCAGCAACGACGCTACCGCGCGGGGCGGGGGGGGGGGGGGGGGGGGGGGGGGGGGGGGCGCCCCCCCGCCGTAGTCAAGACGCCTCACCCGTCCCGCCTCCTCATTGGTGCGGGGGGGAGGGGGCGTGGCCTAAAGGGGATATAAATACAGGGGTCGGCGGGCGGCGTTTCGGCAGAATGTGTGGGTGGTGTTGGAGTTGGGGCTATGCTTAGGGGGGCTTTTTTTTGTTTGTTTTTCTTTGTTGTGGTATTTAATGGCTAATTTCCCTCCGTCCTTGGGTTTAGGAAAGTAGAAATCATATTGCAGCCTATTTGTGAAATTTTGAGTCCACCCATCTCCCTCCCACAGGGACTCCGTGTGCTATGATATGTGTGTGTGTTTAATAGCACCAATATATAAAGATACATATATCTTTATTTTAACTTTATTATATATGTGTTTGTATAAAAAAAACATTCATATATATGTGTGTGTGTGTATATGATATATCACACATATATCTTTAAATAATGTGAGTATGTATGTATGTATGTATGTATGGCCTTCGGCTTTGTTCGGGTATTTTCCCACGTCATTGTAGTTGTGCTTTTAAAGTTGTAGCAACGTTTCGGCAGAATCTAAACTGCCATCATCAGGCTTCTGCATTGTGTTCGTCTGTACTGTATTTTGACAGAAAAAAGTATATGAAGGTATATAAAGATGTATAAATGTAGATATTTACATGAGATTGGTGTATATAATGATTTGTATAATAAGGATGTTAAAGTCAAGATTAATATGTGTAAAAGGTGGAAAATAAGAATAAAAATTATTACAAAAATAAATACATAAATGGTTTTCTTGTCTTTATGGTCCCGCATGGAGCTGAGCCAGCCTGTTGGAAGGGGTTAGGGATGCATTATTCGTGGCTCTTCTATTTTAATTTGTCTTCGGCTCTTTTGGTTCTTGTGATATTTTTTTTAACATTTCAGACACTGAGAAGAGAGCTAGAGGCCTGGATTTTTATCTCATGGATTCGGTTTTATTTAGAAAAACGTGGGCGTTGATTGGAAAAAAAAACCTATGCATTTAAATGTCAGTGGCTTCTTGCTGTCCTAGCTCAACCATAGGGGCAGCTTCCAAAGACACCAATGCGGTGGATTTACTGGGATGCATATCTGTGCCTTCATGTTTGCACAATGCAAAAATGGGATGCATAAAATATTGGGATTTTTTTTAAAATATATATCTCCTCAAACGCTGCTGCATCTTGCAGGAATACTGGTTTCTAGGTGACAAGAGACTTCTGGGTAGGATGTATTTGAAGCCTCCTTTTTTAAAAAAAACAAAAACCATGCCGAACTAAAATGTATATTTACTGTAGAAAATGTTTGTGTTTTTTAAAAAACAAAAAAACAAAAAAGGTTGATCAAGCTGAGTGCTTAATCCTGATGGGAAATCAAGATGATTTCTTGCTTTATGATCTCGTGTGGAGTTTTAAAAAGCACCAGGAAGTCAATTCAGAGGAAGAGCTAACTGCAAACATTGACAGATTATTTTGTAAAATTGGAGAGCAAGCAAATCAATCAGGATTGTTACTTCAGCAGGGATGGGTTGTTATTTTTTTTTTTTTTTTGCATCTCAGCCCATTAAAGCTCGCAGCAACCTCAAGTTAAGGCTTTGCATGTCAATATTGCGGAATTAAGAACACCACCAGATTTTAAAACAGCTCCCCCACTTCCTCAAACCAAGATAAAATTAATACAGGAACTCCTCGACTTACGACCACACATTTCTGTTGCTAAAAGCAAGACCGTCGTTAAGCGAGGTTTGCCCCCATTTTACGACCTTTCTTGCCATGCTGGTCGAGTGAATCCCTTGCAAAACTGTTCAGTTGGAAAGCTGGTTGTTAAAAGCTTGTTGGAAGACTTGAAAAAGAGGGGAATCACACAACCCCCAGGGACTCTGCAACCGTCGTAAATATGAATTGGTTGCCAAGCATCTGAATTTGGATCACGTGACCACGGGGATGCTGCAGCGGTCGTAAGTGTGAAAAACGGTCATAAGTCCCTTTTTCGGCGCCATTGTGAATTCAAACCGTTGGAAAAAATAGTGAACCACATTCCTGATTATTATTATTCCTATGACAATATACGCTTCTGTGGGTTTGCAGAAGGAAAACAGGGGATTCATGCAGCCTTTTTCTCAACCTCAGCCATTTTTTAAGATGTAGGAACTTCAAAAACATGCTTGGCTGGGGAATTGTGGGAGTTGAAGTCCACCAGTTTTAAAATTGCCGGACGTGATAAATTCTGGCCTAAGGAAGAATCGAAAGCTTCTTTTCTCTGCTCTTCGGGAGGGGTTTTTTCTTCTCAGACTGGGAGAGCTTAAATGTCCTGTGTTCGTTCGTTCTTCCCTTCTACTTTCTTTTTTTTTCCACTCTTCTGATTTGGAATTGTTCTGCAGGAAAGCAGAGGGACAGGATTGAAGCAGAAGGCGAGAAAAAATAATGTCATTTATCAAAGCACCCCAGCAGCTCCCCTAAGGCCAGACAGCAAGGAAAAATGGAAATCTTTCGCAGAAGGCAATGTTTAATCAACACCAGGAGAGATGGGGGGCTTTTAATGCAGAAGGAATTGCATCTTATTGTCCTTCTTCAACTCTTCATCTTAGTATTAAGTATAATAATTGGGCTAGTCACACTCTTTCTTTCTCTCTCTCCACCTCCCTACCTCTCTCTCTCTTTCTCTCTTCCCCTTTCTCTCTCTTTCTCTCTTCTTTCTCCCTCCTTCTCTCCCCCCTCTGTCCTTCTCTCTTTCTCTCTCCCCCTTCCCTCTCTCTTTCTCTCTCCCTCTTTCTCTCTCTCTTCCACTCTCTCTGTTTCTTTCCCCCTCACCCCCTCTCTTTCTTTCTCTCTCTCTCTCTTATTTCATCCAGTTTTGGTCACCAAACAATAAAAAAGATGTTGAGACTCTAGAAAGAGTGCAGAGAAGAGCAACCAGGATGATGAGGGGACTGGAGACCATGGGGGGACATGATAGATATTTGAGGGGCTGCCGCAGAGAGGAGGCGGTCAGCCTATTTTACAAAAACACCTGAAGGCTAGAGAAGGAATAATGGAAACTGAACAAGGAGAGATTCAACCTGGAAATAAGGAGAAATTTTCTGACAGGGAGAACAATCAACCCATGGAACAAAAGTTGCCTTCAGAAGTTGTGGGAGCTTCAGCAATGGAGGCTTTCAAGAAGCAACCGGACTGCCATCTGTCAGAAATGGTGTACGGTCTCCTGCTTGGGCACGGGGTTGGACTAGATGACCTACAAGGTCCCTTCCAATCCTGTTATTCTATTCTCTCAACCCAATCCACTTCAAAGGGCTGCTATTGTTGGAAAACAAAAGGAGGAAGTTTGTGTTAAATATGTTAGCCCCCTTGACTTGTGACTGGTCCTCATACCTACGACTGTCTCATCCACCCCTACGATCAAAATTCAGGTGCTTGGTAGCCGTCAGGTGTTGATAAAGGTTACAGCCTCCTGGAATCTTCTGGTGACCTTCCCAGCAGGGCTTCTGACATATAAAGTCAATGAAGGCAGCTGGATTCATTTAATGACCGTATGATTCACTTAACAACTGCCAAGATTAGGTTCACAGCCATGGCAAAGAAGGTCGTAGAATTGGTGATGATTCGCCTTGCTTAACCACAGAAAAACCCAGCCCAGATTCTGTCCGTAAATCAAGGACTTGATTCTCTCTTGCTAAATGCATCTGGTCTGGATGCCTGGGGGCACAATTCGAGCTCAGGTCAGGGCTGTGAGCATACGTGCATGTCAGTGGTGGGATGCAAAACGTTTTACTACCAGGTCTGTGGGCGTGGCTTGGGCGTGGCTTGGTGGGCATGGCATTACTTGGTTGGCGTGGCAGGGGAAGAATACTGTAAAATCCCCCTTCCCTTCCCACCCCACTAACCTGCTTTCCAGCTCCGTTCTCCTATGCAGGGCAACCAAAGGAGACCCAGCCAATCAGCTGGGACTCAGGAGGCGGAGCATAGATGGGGGTGGAGCCAGTCAGAGGTGGTATTGGCTGGTTCTCGGAACCACTCAAAATTTCTGCTGAATACCACCTATGGCGCATGTGCATAAACGGTGGTTGTGTGCATTTGGGTGGCTGAGACAAGCCGCTATTCCAGCCAAGAGACTTCGCTGCCAATGTCAGGGATTATAAAACGAAATTAAAACAAAAACAAAAAAACCCCAAACCAACTCCAAAACAAAAAAACAAAAAAAAATCCAGAATGTAATTGCATTAAATCACTCACATATTCGCTGCACTCCACACTACAACAAAATGCTCTGTGTGTGTGTGTGTGTTTTTTTTTTACAAAACAACATCAAGAAAGGAAGGGGGGAAAATATATATATATATATATATATACACAATTAAGGCTTGGGCCAAGAAATTTACAATTTAAATCAGCACCACCTCATTAAAACCACCCCCTTCCTCCATGAATTCTGACTTTTCCTCTCCACCCCCGGCCTTTGCAACGCAGCATCCGATGAATATGAAATTCAAGATTTCACGCACGTCCGTCCTCCCAGGGGGATGCCAAGTTGGAGTCAGAAAACACAGGTAACAGATTGGGGTTTCCATCTGTCTTTATCCTTTCCTACCCAGGCAGTAATCGCCTGTAATCATCTTGGGCGCTCCTAAAATGCCTTGAGTTTCTATCTGGGATTTCCCCCCCCCCCCGCCTACCTTTCAGTTTGTGGCCCTCAATTAACTAGAATTATTATTTTTTGGTTCAGGTAAACATGCCATTAAAAAAAAAAGGCCCTTCTGGAGTTACAGATAACAGATCATCAGTTGGAAGGGACCTTGTAGGTCATCTAGTCCAACCCCCTGCCCAAGCGGGAGACCCTACACCATTTCTGACAGATGGCAGTCCAGTCTCTTCTTGAAAGCCTCCAGGGATAAAGCTCCCACAATTTCCAAAGGCAACTTTTAACCTTCGACTGTCTACTATTGACCTCACCCCTTT